AACTCGAGAGCATGTGACATTAATAAACAACTGAATAATGTATAATGACAATCGTTTTGAGCGACGCGACGTCAACAGCCGGCAACAGACAACGAGCAGAGACTTGCGCATTGGGCAATGCCAAATTATAGTTGTTGACGAGCGAATGGAGAACAAGTTGGAGTTGCAGCTACTACACATTAAATGCGCCATAACTGGGTCCCTAAAATGTCTATGGCAGATGGCTGGCAACATGCATATGCATTCGGCATACACACACACGCACACACACACAGATAGACTTGTGAATTTATTATACAAGTGACCCATCGAGCGTTCAGCATTTGCGCAATGAACTTTTGGCGCACGCATAACGCATCTATTAAAGCCGGGCCAAGTGAGCAAGGACGCGCTTATCAGCCGCATCGCAATTATGCCAGTTTTTGCTGTTTTTTTATTATTTATTTTTTATTGTTAATGTGTCAGCCGGTGAAATGTCGATGTGAGCATTAAAAAACAACGTCGCGCCGTTGCAGCCGTTAAAACTGCGAGCGCCGTCGGGGTCTTGACCATGTCAAATACCCCAAAATGAGTCGCTATGACAAGTGTGCAGATGCGCTAAGTCGACTACATCAAATGTATACCAAATAAAACACAGCTCAAATGTATTACAAGCGGCGTGCAGCTCGCGTACGAGCCCATTTGCAAGTCGTCAACACCAACGGCAACAGGCAACAACAACGGCAACAGCACCCAGTTGCAAGCTCGAATTACTAAACAACATTACCGCGGATGGCCAACTGACTTGCGTAGCAGCTGGTTATGGCCATTCCTCATAATTGGGCTGCCCGACTGGCAGCCATTTTCAATTTGCATACAGCGCCCATTAACCCATTGACACATTCGAAAGGACTAAAGAGAGACAAAAAAACCATAAAAACTTTTTTATTTCTATCGCAAATCTCGCTAATGTAAAAAATATACTATCAATATTGATCTAGGCGTAGATACTTTGAGATTTGCTCAAGCTCTATTTTAAATTGATTCTTGATCATTTGTTAAGAATTAGTTAAAAGCATGGAATATATCGAAGTGCTTAAGGGACATTTTGGTCACTTATGAGTCTTACTATCAAAGACTGACTAGAAATTACTTGCCCAGCCATTTAATCAGTTGTATTCTTGAAGGATTGTCACATAATGGCCATAGATGTTCTGATATGAGCTGTGGCTTAAATCGATTTGGATACTTTTTGAATATTGTGTTGACTGATGCCTAAGTCGATCTAAACAAGTTTTCGGCCAGTTGGCAAAGCGTGAATGTCAATACAATCGACTAGTTTGGTGGGTTGGCGGCTAAAGGCAATCTAAACTCGTCTTATCTGCTAGGTCTTACAATTTACAAATTAAAGTATATATATATGTAATACGTCTTGTCTGACTAGAGATACACACAGCTCGATCTGTAGCACATAGCAGAGATTCTTTGACTATGACATCGACATCGGAATTGACATCGGAATCGACATCGACATCGACATCGACATTGAATTGTGAATACAGCGAGTTGGCTGCTCTCTCAACTGGTTCGACCTTGCGACCTACAAACGATGACACTTGTTGGGGATTTTTACCAACAGTTCGCATGCTTTTTGCTTTATCTTTTGTCTGCCATCTGCCGTCTGTTGTCTTTGGCTTCGCTTACGAAATCAAAAGAAAGAGCATATTGGTTTCTTCGAATGTCAGTTCGAATTCAGGCTTTAATTTTTTATTTATAAATAAACTTAAGGTATGAAATGCAAACATTTTGCATATTTAGGTACCCCAAATCAATTTTGCGATTTAAATTTCGTTCAAACGTGTAAAACTTGCGTATCTTCAATTTCAGTCAGCTCCAATTCATCTGTAATTTATTTATTCATTTACTTATTTTTGTTCTTTCTTGACACTAGAGTCACTAATAGAAAACAACTAAAGCATATTTGCAGTCCACTCAAGCGAAAGCCTGTTCACACTGCTGAACAAATCGAAATCAAATTAAGGCCATCTGCAACACAAATGCAGTGAGCACTCACTCATTGATCGTGAGAGACGAAGGGATACAGCTAGATTGCTTATTAAGATTTGTTCGCAGAATCTATTACAGATTTACAAGCAAGTAGAATAGTGAAAGCCAAAAAGTGTTTATTATAACAATAACAAAAAATGATATTAACTGAAATGTAAATAAAATAAAACATGTGAACAAAAAGAAAATCCACAAGTTAAATAATATACATTATTATTTATTAAAATAGAACAAACAAGTAAGAAGGCTCCAGTCGAGACTGCTCGACTAGGAGATACCCTGAACCCTCCAAGCTGATATTCTAATCATTCTGGACTTCTTTTATTCATACATATATACACATGCACTTATAAGCACGCGCTCTGCTAACTGCGCAGTAAGCAGCGACTGCGCTGGGGCTGCGCTGCAATGTGGGCAATATTATGAGAATTTATTTGTTGAATAATTTCTTTTGTAGACGTATGATCTTAATAAAACTTTTAGAGCGTAATCATATGGCTAAAATGTGTGTACATTCCAAAGCACAAGTCTCTAGTACTTGAAATGCGTTTTTTACAAATTGGGGGCGAAGGGGGCGTGGTATCCAAAATCTGTAAATTACAAAATCTTTGTATCCATTAACTCTATATACAACGCAAATTTGAAGTCTCCTGGTTGAAAAGTGTTCAAATTAGGCTGAAAAAACAATGTCGATTTTTCGATTATTCTCGATAAAAAAGTTATCGGATGAGTTATCGAAAAAATAAAGCAAACTCGTACTGCCTATGATATACACGAGTATGCATGCCAAATTTCAGCTCTCTAGCCCTTATAACTTCTGAGATCCTTTTGCTCATACGGACGGACGGACGGACGGACGGACGGACAGACGGACAGGGCTATATCGACTCAGCTCGTCGTCCTGATCAAGAATATATATACTTTATGGGGTCTGCGATGATTCCTTCTGCCTGTTACATACTTTTCACAAAACCATTATACCCTGATTTCCCATTTTCAATGGGTTCAGGGTATAAAAAGGGAAAATGTATAAATGAAATAGCTGAAAAACGATATTTAATATAAATCATACATATATTTTATAAAAAAAATAAAATAAATTAATTAATAGTGTATGGCTAAATTGTGAAAAGAAACATAAATACATATTATGTTAAAACAAAATAAATAATTAATAATAAATAAATGTATTGTAAATAGAAAATGTGCAAATTAACTATAATTCAGAAAACAAATGAGTATTTCAAGCATAGCCATAAATCAGATGGAAGGTATGTATTTTGAGGAATGTATGTTTTCAAAATATTCGACTTAATGTGAGGGATAAGTAATCAAATAATAAATAAGTTTATCCATATTTCATGCACAATCGCGAATCACTACTTTAAGGAGAACGCGAGGCAGGCACGACTTAATTGACTTGGCTTGTTAGTCTGGCCATAAGCTTACATATATATTTTAATGGGGTCGGGGTTCACCTATTATTCAAAAACATTTTTATGGCCATTTTTATGGGCATATAAAGTTATGCAAATTAAACGTACGATTCTTCGGATCGTATGAGCATTTTCCTTTTCGCTCTTCGGCTTGCTTCTGCATAAAGCCAAGTGAAGTGCAGTCCGATCTGTGGAGCCATCGTCTAGGCTTGGCCAAAGAATGGAGTGAGAAAACAAAACACTGATTGCGCATACGTACATATGTATGTATTTATTTATGTAATTATGTACGTATATATGAGAGTAGTTTGTAGTTTAATTAAAATCCAAAAGTTCAAATTAAAAGAGCATTGCAAAAATACAAAATGCAAAAAACTAGCAAGCGAACAATTACAATTGCAGCAAATTAAAGAGGTTTTTGAGCCTTTCAAGTTGTTGCTGCTGTTGTCGTTGCTGTTGCAGCAGCAGCAGCAGCAGCAGCAGCTGCAGCTTGTTCATTACAACTTTTGCACTTTATTGAGCTGTTTTGTTAAGGTTTTCGCTCAAAACGTGTTCGCAGCTTCAGTGCGGCTGCCATCGGCAACGGCGGCGCCAACATCGGCGCTGGCGTTGCCGTTGACGTTGACGTTGACGCTTGCGTCGTCGCCGCCGACGCCGCCTTGAATACTGATATTCCCCGTTTGCCGAGCCATTGACGCCTATGCGAACGCGCGCGCGCGCAATAAAATTCAATTCGGTTTTCTCAGTCTTCCACATCCACATTCACACTCACACATAACATACGTACTGCACACGCAATACATGCGCGCATGTGCACTTGTGTGTATGATCGAACAGAGAGAGAGAGAGAGAGAGAGAGAGGTAAAGAGAGACGTAGAGAGAGGGAGACAGACGTCGAGAAGCGAATGTATTTGAGTTGTTTGTATTTTTTGGCTGTTGGCCAAATGAGGTCTATGCGGACGCCGACGTCGACTGCAAAAGCTTCGACTTCGACGACGACTTCGACGACTGCGCTTTGGCTGTGTAACCGATTTTTGGCCACTGCTAAATCATTGAAGTAACTTTCGTCTGCAGTCATTTGCTTAAAGTTAGTGAACGTGCTAGTATCGCATATCTGCGGCAGCTGCTCCCAAAAGTTTTGCCTGTGTGTAGTCGCTGTTTCGTCGCCTCGTCGCCTCGCTTGCTTTTCAGTTTGCATACCAATTGTGGCTAGCGGAGAGTTCAGTTACTACAATTCAGTTGGTGCGTGCCCATAGCGTGTAGAGTCTGCACATGCGTGTGTGTGTGTGTGTGTGTGTGTGTGTAGGGGTGTATGTGAGTGTGTGTGTGTGTGCACATAATATGTATGTAAGAGGTGTAAAGCATTTTCGAGGGCCCCCCACGGCCGAAGGTCGCTAACATCATCGACATTGCGCATGCGCCCTGTGTTACGCCTGCAAATAAACACGAATATCTCCGAACGTTATTTAACTTTTGTTTTTTCCGCTTTTTTTCGTTTCATTTGCTTCTGTTTGTTAGATCTGAAAGCGCAAGAGGATAACTAGACCAACGCTCAAGGAAAATGCAGTTTACCACGAGTTGCATGATGGCGCTGCTGCTGCTGCTGCTGGCCATAACACAGCTGACGACATCGGCGCCCGCCGAGGCTCTGCTCGAGCTGCAGGACGGCAGCGAGCCCGCCGATCTGAACCCCATCAATGCAGAGGTAAAGTAAACACCACAGACCAAACGCCTCCAGCAAACAGTAAACAAGGAAGCAAACAGCGCCATGAGCAGCGACTGTGTCACGAGAGGGGCAAAACTTGTTGCTGTTGGCTCTTTTGCCCCACCATCTGTAGCAGTTGCAGTTGCAGTTGCCGTTGCCGTTGCCGTTGCCGTTGCCGTTGCCGTTGCTGTTGCAGTTGCAGTTGCTACTGAGGCGTAAAAGTCACTTGCAAAGCCCCTTTGTTGCGCCTTTTGCTTTGTTATTTTGTTGCTATTACTGTTGCTGCTGCTGCGGCTGTTGCTGCTGTTGTTGTTGTTGTTGTGTAAGCTGCAGCTGAGCACTTGCTAATTTTGTGGTCGACTGACGTCGCAGCTTGCACTGTCTTTCCGCCATAGCTGTACACATCCCCGATCCCCGATCCGTTCCGATCCGCTTTAAATCTGATCTACGCACAGTCGCAGACAACTGCATAATCCAATTATCAGTCCATTTCGAGTTTCGACAGTGTGACCTTGAACCGAAAACGAAAGCTTGCGTAAATGCGATATATGTATACGTAGATAAGATATATGTATTACGGCACGACCTATGCCAACATGAACAACATGATCTTCGAGGATAGCCTCACAAGAGGCAGTGCCCGACTAGAAACTACCACGCAAGCTGTTAGAAATCTCCTATCGTGTGCCTGTATACAGAATAGATGTATATAGAACTCGATTGGAACAGATCACATATGCTTGATTTCACTCAAAATAGACTGTAAAATATCTTTCTCTAAGCTCTAAGAATCCCAATTCAATTTCGATTTTGTTTGTCAAATGGCATAAATTCGTTCTGTACAGCATATGAGAGAGACTCTTATACCTTCAGTAGAAGCTAGAGGATTGTACTCCGATATTTACAGATAGTATATATATTTGGTTTCGATGCTTCATTTTTGGGCGCAGGCATTGAAGAAATCGATCAACGAGTCAAATTCATAATACAGCCTTAATGGCTGGGTATTTCGTAGTCGACTACACCCAGCTACAGCGCTGTTAATTGAGTTTAAGTAATTTACAGCATAATGCGAATATTCGCTTAGTGCCAGCTAATTTGTAAATCCATTATTCATAATAACGAAATCTTAATATAATGGTGAAATCTTAGAGATGGATATATAAAACGTGCATATGTATGTATATGTGAGTTGATCTCGTATGGGATCGCTAGAGATATTGAAAAACAGTTCATTCATCAATAGATCTTTTAAGCTGCAACTCTCAATTGATATTTAGGCGTAAGTAAATATTCATTCATCATTTCTGACATCGAGTCTCAGCTGTTTGCTCCTTATGAGGGCCCACGGCTATCTATTGTTTTAGCAATTCACAAAGCCAACATCATCAACCGACGGCTTAATTACCTGTTCGCTTCTACATTCAAATGCACTATAAACTAATTGGGCAACAACAACAGCGACTACAACAACAGCAACAATAGTTTGACTTTGGGCGGTTCGGGCGCATGCGTCTTGTTTAGAAATGAGTCCATTTGGAGCTCGGCCCATGCGAGAAGTGCATACATATTGAGTGTTTCGCGTTTTGTTGCCAATGACGCTGTGAATTTTAAGCATGGACAAGCATAATTATATTGAATGCCGAAATGTTGCCTCGATGTCAAAGCCCAGCCGATGCCAATACCAATAGAGTGAGGTCTAAGAATAGACGTAAGTGGCTTAAGCGTGTCTCTCTGTGTCTGTGTAATCACGTGTATGCATGTGTTTCAATTGGTTTTCTTGCAGGCGCGTAATTAGTTCAAGTCTAACCAGATTTGTGATTCACAATCTGAGTCATTGACATACCCGCTCGCGCAGGTATACGTGGCTATATTGGCTTGTGCGGCTGCGTTGGCTATAAGCGCATCAAGCTTGGGGGTAATGCGATATATAGCACTCCAAGATATATATTGTACAATACAAGAATATTGAGCCCGAATGAACTGAGCTCCTATTGGCCCCGCCTTGGGAGGGTAGGGTGCGTTCTCAGCTGCTGCTAGCTTTACGTTGGCACGGGGAAGAATCGATTGCCATCAAGCCAAACTCTTTAGTGTCTGTTCTCTCTCTCTTATATAATTCTTTTCTAGGAGGTGTTAGGCGGCGGCGAGCTCGAGCGCAACAAACGAAAACTGCCCGATGCGACATTTGAGGCGAAAAATGCCGTGCTCGGCTTTGTGTTTGGTGTAAGTAGTGCCATTTGATGCGTTGCCATTCATTGATCCATTAATGTTTGCTCCCAATCACATGCCATTGCAGAAGATCGATAACTTTCTAGATACAAAGACTCGGGTGATTGAGCAGCTGGATCGCTCGAATATCGAGAAGAATAAGCAGTGGGACATTAAGTCGCCGGTGCCAATCAAGGACTTCCAGACTCTGATCACGGCAGTGGTGTCGCCAAAGATACGCTCCATCGGCAACATTGCCAACGATCTGACGACCGGCGTATTGACGACCATAACTGCGTTCAGCGGTTCCTCGTCAGGCAATGGCAATCCCAACGCCGGCCTCGGCAACGTCGTGTCCAAGTTCTTGAGCTTTTCGGGACCCATTCTGCAGGGGTCGTCGGGCGGTGCCAATGGCATAGCTGGCGTCACAACACCGGCCCCCGACTCCGATGAGGCGGGCTATTAAGCTACTGTCTCACTGGCTACCTGGCTAACTTGTTGGCAGGCTAATTGGATGACCTGATCTGGATCGTTCGTTTGTCCGTTCTGAGTTGAGGTTTTCTAATTTATGTAAATCACACACATAGCTACACGTCACACACCTACACACAAACACACCCACACACTCTGGAGGAGTGATCTGTCCTAAGTCTTCCTCTGATGCTCGCACTCTTTCATTGGCATATCAATTCTGTACGATTTTTTTTTTCTCTTGTCGTAGTTTAGAGATAAGTTTGAAATTTTGTTAACGCTTCCGATTGTTTGTCGTCAGGGCAATATCTAAGTTTATTTTATGCTACGCATTGTACTCATGTTTGTAAATATTGGCGCATATATATATATATATATTAATGTAACGTTCGACTAAATAAAACGATAAATTAAACACTTGATTTTTACATATGTATCAGCAAGACATTAAAAAAAGACGAAAAAATGAAAAAGAAAAAAAAAAATCAACCGCAACCGAAACAAAAACTCGATTTTTTCAATGCAACCCTGGGATCGACACAGCGCTAGCCTTGGCCTTGTCTTCATTATGTTTAATATGTCGCATGCCTTGATAAGTCGGCCTACTCACAATCCTCTCTCTTTCTTCTTCTTCTCTTTTCGATCTCGTTTCGCTGCTTCGGCTCGACCAGACCAAACGACAAGCCCGCGCCGGTGGCAAAGATCTAAGCGACGCGCCGGAACTGGATCGCAACAACGTCTCATTCGAGCTGCCCGACGACTTGTTCACCAAATCTTTCCGCACAGTCACCCAAGTATCTCAAGCCATTTCCCGCCTAATAATGGTGAGTATATATATATTTTTTTTAATTTGGACAAAGCAGAGACCAATATCGGCTCTTCGAGGGTTTTAGGGGATCCGGTAGTCCAGTCTCGACTAGAGCGCCCTCAAAATGTTTTTATACCCTGAACCCATTGGATATGGGAAATCTGGGTATAATGGTTTTGTAAAAAAGTATGTAACGGGCAGAAGGAGTCATCGCATAGACCCCATAAAGTATATATATTCTTGATCAGCATGACGAGCTGAGTCGATATAGCCCTGTCTGTCTGTCCGTCCGTCCGTCCGTAGAGTGCGTCGATCTCAGAAGTTATAAGAGCTAGATAGCTGAAATTTGGCATGCATACTCGTGTATACCATACGCAGTACAAGTTTATCATATTTTTTCGATAACTCGTCCGATAACCTTTTTATCGAGAATAATCGAAAAGTTGATTTTTGTTCAGCCTAATTTGAACACTTTTAGACCTACAGACTTCAGATTTACTGTGTATCTACAATTGATCGATACGAAGATTTTGAAATTCACAGATATTGGATACCACGCCCCCTTCGCCCCCAATTTGTAAAGAACGCAAGTACTAGAGACTTGTGCTTTGGAATGTACACACATTTTAACCATATGACTACGCTCTGAAAGTTTCATTAAGATTGTATGTCTACAAAAGAAATTATTCAACAAATAAATTGTCATAATATTGCCCACACTACAGCGCAGCCCAAGCGCGGTCGCTGCTAACTGCGCAGTCAGCAGAGCGCGTGATTATACGTGCGTGTGGATGCGTGTGTATGCATGTGTGCATAAAAGAAGTGCAGAATGAGTAGAATATCAGCTTGGAGGGTTCAGGGTATCTCCTAGTCGAGCAGTCTCGACTAGACCCTTCTTACTGTTCTTACTATATAAACAACAATTATTGAAGATTAAAAAATGCTTGAGTCATATTTAGAAATATGTGTATAAGTCTCATTTTTATTTACTCTTATTTATTTCTTTTCAAGAACTCGGCACGTCGTTACTCACGCTTCGTCCTGTTCTTCAAGCCCGTATTTGGCGATGCGTTGGTAGTCAAAGGATACGAGGATCCCACCACCACGACGACCATGCGCACGACAACGACTACTGAGGAGGCATTAAAGGAAAATGAGGTCTAGTCGCTCCATTAATGATGTGCTTCAGCTCTAAACTAATACACAGATATTGTCTATCATATACTAGAGCCCAGTCACGCTTATCTTGTGATCCATTTGTTTGGCTAAAGTTTAAAATTTATATACTAGAGAATTTATACTATATATACAATATATATATATTTTTTTTTTATTTTATTATATATGTATATACATGCATACATATATTTATGATAATATTCTTTTTTGGGATTTGTGTACTGCCAAAAATAAAGGATTGGTTTATTGTTTATTATATGTTGTATGGTGAAGATATGGCAATGGGGAATATCTTTCAGCCGCTGCTGGAGCGTGGACGCACAAGAATGCGTAATTTTTTCAGCGAGCCCTTGGGACCATCCAGGAAGCCGTGCCACAATATGCCTTGATAGCCATCTACATCCCGAGTGAGCTGGGGCTGATAGACGCCGAACGGGTTGCTGTGGAAAACATTGAAGACATTCGAGTCCTAAGCTCATTCGATTGAACTGAACCTACCTCAGAGTGCAGACGTTGCTGTACCAGAAGGCAGCCGACTGCTCAGCTGCACAGTTGGCGCCGCTCTCATCATTATCCCTGTCCTGGGTGCTGAACTTCTTGCCCAAGTGCTGGCGCAGCGCATCGGAGGCGTCTCCCTGATATTCGCCTAGCACGTTCAGGCTATACTGCTCCGACTCGCTGCCAATGCTGAAATGATCGTACAGTGCATAGCGCTGCTCCTGCTTGCGGTTCTCGAGTATGACGAGCAGCTCATTGTCTTCGCTGCTGGTGATTTGATGCAGCTTCTCGAGGCCAATGAAAAATTCGGTCGCGATAGACCCGAAGCCGATCTTGTAGTCGCTCCAATTGCGCTTGAAGTTCTCGGTGCCATCGAAACGATTGGCCACCACAGTCCAGCCGCCACCCCGAGTCTTCTGATCGCAGTACACAAAGAACGGTTCTATATTGGCCTGTAATCGAATGCGAGCTACGCCGTGCTTCTGCTTCAGGCAGTTCTGGGGCGTATCCACCTGCATCTGTGGCTGCACATCAAGACTAGAATTAAGTGTGAGACGTTTTCTAATGAAACTAAACGTATCACTAAAGCGAACTAGCTTACATGCGTGTGCTAAAGGTCTTGTCCAGCGGTGCTGCAGAGGCAGCAGTGTTAGGGATACCCCAGCGTCGCAGATCCACCAGCTGCTCTTGCAGGATGCCCATTTTCTCCCAGGCTCTGGCTAAATCCTCGGACAGCGAATGGATTTTTGTGTTCAGATTGCTAATCGTTGCCAGAGGACAGTTGCTTGATGTCTGTAAGGGATATGCAACCGCTGTACGATTAAAAGTAGTGTCTTAGTGGGGGTGCCCGACTAGGAAATCCCCTGAGCCCTGTCCAACCTGTATTTTCATACCCTGAACCCCTTTTCAATGGGTAAGTAATAGGCGAAAAGAAACTCCATAAGGAATATTTATTCCTGATCAGAGCTCTGTCCGTGTGTCTGTGCGACCATCTCTCCGTATGTTTGAAGGCGTCGATCTAAGAAGATATAAGAGCTTCTAGCTCTTGAGATTTTGCTCTTAAGTCCGTATATATCTCGCGCATATCGAGTTTATTTAAAAAATCGATAACTTCTCCCATTTGTTTTTGGTTTTGGGTGGACTTGGGGCCGGTAAAAATATAATTCAAATCGAAATTGTGTGCGATAATACTTTATCTATATTCAAAACTCTTAAACTTGAACTCTAAAGATGTAAAAGATATAATTGCATCGTCGAATTTTAATAAGGCTGGACGGGTGGACGAATAGGGAAATATCAACTCGGCCTAATCGGTATATTTGATGCCACGTCTAAACACATTTCAACCAAACCATCATGTCTGATTTCGGATTTCCCATTCGCACATTTGAATTACTTCTACTTTGCCATATATACTCGATGGAATTCCTATGTCTGTACTGACTCACCGCATCGTCTGGAGGCAACGCCTGATCGGTCACATTGGTTTGGGTTGTGGTTAGGCAGGCCAGCATTGTGACCAGCGCATCCAGCTGTAGCATTTGCGACATTGTGCTCCGGCTCAGATGCACAAGTATACTAAGCTGGAGGTTCTCGTCGCTAAATCTGTTAGAGTGGCGATTTCTCCAGAGGCAACAGCAGAGGTCATCGGATACATTTCCAGTCAGCAGCTTTATATGCAGGTGCACCCGGGCGTATTGCAAACGAGTATTCTATTATATGCAGTCGGTGGCGTAACTAGTTTATCAGTTAGCTAGTCGAGTGTGAGCTTATGCGGCTCGTAGCTAGTCTGCGAATCGCGCACTCGCTGAAGGCCGATTACGTCGCAGTTAGCTGTCAGAGCTACTGGCGTGCACATCAAATTCAATAGTCCGAGTCCGTGCGGAGAGCGCAGCTTTCCACCAGCTGGTAGCATGACTCTGGAAGCCCTGGTCACCGCATTAACTTGCCTGAGCACCCCCTCGACGACGCTGTCCGGAAACTTCGTAACAAATATCATGGTGGACTCGACGCAGCCCTTTCGCAATGTACGTTAACTTCAACTCGATTCCATTTGGAAGAACTTATGCTACTGAGTTCTATGTTTTGCAGCACACGCTCGGCTGTCCGGCGGTCGTGGTCGATGCCCTGATGGAACGGTAAGTCATGCTTAAGCCTGAGGCGGTGCCTATGTCACAGTTGATTTCATTCAGAGTTCACTATATGAGCGCTGAGCTGCAATCTCTGTACGCGGATCTCACCGAAGTACAGCAGCTCATCGATGAGTACAAGAGCCAAGCTCCAGTGCAGCCTATAGAGTCGCGGATGTAAGTTAATCAACTAGTTCTATAACAGTTTCGAATTTTATAGTAGACAATTCGGGAATCAGTCTTTAATATGTTTGTGAAAATGTATGCAAAACGTAGGAGACGTGCAGATCATAAAGTATATATATATATTGGTCGAGCCATGTCTGCCTGTCCACCCGTCCGTATGAACGCTGAGATCTCCAAAGCTCTAAATGATAATGATATTCAATTTTACTTGTGTACTCGTGTATACCATACGCAGAACGAATTTACCATATTTTTTCGATAGCTCACTCCATTTTTGTATCGAAAATAATCGAAAATTTGATTTCGTTATTCTAACGTAGTTTGAATACTATTAAACCAGATATTGGATAAATTGTCAAAATATTTCCCACACGGCACCCCAAGCGCATTCGCTGCTAACTGCGCAGTGAGCTGAGCGCATGCTTAGATGCCAATGTGCATGTGTCTTTGTATGTGTGCATAAAAGAATCGTATAATGATCCGAATAACAAGCATGATTTGTAACTTATGGTATACACATCTTTTTAGCTGATTTCTACCCAGATCCCTATACTCTTGCAATCATTTCATAAAGTACATTCAAAATGGGCTTTTACAAAATATATGTAAAAAAAAATATAAAGAGGTGAAGGATTTGAGTTAGCGTTTATGGTGGCTGATAATGCATATATATTCTTAATCGGACCAAGGATCTAACCCTATCTAGACATTCCCTCCTTATGTAGTCTGATATTTATACTCATTCACGAAAGTGAATTATTATACTCATTCACGAAAGTGAATATTATACTCATTCACGAAAGT